AAAAAAAAAAAAAGAAAGGGAAGAAATTCTGATTTTGATTAGTCAGCCTTGCTATTTTTTATCCGAAAAAAACAAGGCGCTTTTGCTTTACTTCAGATTTTATGATATTACTTTTTAACTGAATCATCTAACTTTTTTCTTCTTCGGTCATTTTTTTTTTGTTTTGCTGCTGTTATTATTACTGAAATTGCAAAAGTGAGAAGAAAAATTTTTTTTCACGACGCATTAATATAATCGTTTTATAGTTGTGTTTAGAAAAGTAAAAAAAAAAAATCAAAGAGACTTTTTTTATTCTCTTTTCAGTTTCTATCTTTGCTTTTCTATCTTTGTTTCATTTTTTCCTGTTTTGCTGACTCTTCACAGAGAAAGATTAAAGGAAGAGGTTACACCTTACTACCTCTCCTTAACAAAAGAAAAAAGCTATTGATGAAGAAGAAGTGAAAAAAGTATTGGCATGATAGAAGAGCAATCGGTTTTTTCCCTTTTTAACACCAAAAATACTCTGCTGATGATAAGTGTCGAACCATTTTTTTGATAGGATATAACATAAGCCTGAAAGCTGTTATTTTTATTGTTCCAGTTTTCTTCTGTTTGCATTAACCAGCTTGATTAAACCAGCAGGGGTAACAGTTATTTGGTTACTAGATTGCTTAGGTGATTAGGTGATTATAAAAATTAACCCTGAATTGTGCATAGAGTTTTAAGGAAGAAAAAGTTTAATATAATTTGCAAAATAGGAAAAAAAAATAAAACAGAAGTGCTTGAAATGTTTTCTTTGCGTTCAGTAGAAAAAAAAAAAGGTGCCTAAAAATGGAAGAAAAAAAGAAAATCTCTTCGTTTACACACTCGTTGATCTGAAATTGGAAACCGTTGGAAACATTTTTTTCCCCTCTTCCCCGCTCCTCTGTCCCCTCCTTTATCGGGGCGCCTTGCATATATATTCGGAGCTCTGATGTGATAACCTTGACCAAAATTTATTGATTATACACACATACACTCACAGATACACATACATGTTTAGCCTTACTTTCTTGGAACATCTTTAGGGTGAAGGAGTCTAGTGCTGTAGTGGCGCTATTCCTTCGGTTTGTTTTGCAGTTTCCGTCTTTAAGTCCGTTTGTCGGTTGGTGTCTGTGTTCGCAGTTATGTG